GAAAACTTCCCTGATATAGGGAAGAAAAAACTCACACAAATCCAAGAAGCTCACAGAGCCCCAAACAAAATGAACCCGAAACGACCGACACCAAGGCACATTATAATTAAACTGGCAAACACCAACAACAAAGTAAGAATAATCTTAAAAGTAGCCAGAGAGAGACAGAAAGTTACCTACAACGGATCCCCCATCAGACTAGCAACTAATTTCTCAACAGAAACACATCAGGCCAGGAGGGAATGGAATGAAATATACAAAGTCATTCAAAGGAAGGGTCTGAATTCAAGAATACTATCCATCAAGGCTATCAATCAAAATTGAGGGTGAAATCAGGAGTTTCACAGACAAAAAAGGACTAAGGGAGTTTACTACCACCAAACCAGCAATGCAAAAAATGCTAAAGGGTCTGCTGTAAAAGGAAGAAATAAGAAGCAAAGAAGGAACACAGGTGTAAAGAATAAAAATGGTGACAAACAAGTACCTATCAATAACTTTAAATGTGAATGGATTAAATGCCCCAATCAAAAGACCTAGGCTAGCTGAATGGATAAGAAAACATGACCTATTTTTCTGCTGTCTACAGGAGACCCACCTCAGAACAAAGGACTCACAGATTGATGGTGAAGGAATGGAAAAAGGTTTTTCAGGTGAATGGAAATGAAAAAAAAGCTGGGGTAGCAATACTTATATCTGACAAATTAGATCTCAAAGTGAAAGACATAACAAGTGATAAGGAAGGCCACTTCGTAATACTAAAAGGAGCGATTCAACAAGAAGATATAACTCTGGTAAACATATATGCACCCAATACAAGAGCACCCAAATACATAAAAAAACTTCTGGAGGAGATCAAGGGAGAGAATGACAGCAATACAGTCATAATAGGGGCCTTAATACCCCACTATCAACATTGGACAAATCCTCTAAACAAAAAAATTAGCAAAGAACATCAATCGTAAGTGACTCACTAGATCAGATGGAATTAATTGACATCTTCAAAACATTTCACCCTAAAGCCACAGAATATACATTCTTCTCAAGTGCACATGGGTCATTTTCAAAGATAGACCATATAGTGGGTCACAAACAAAGTCTCTTCAAATTCAAGAAGATAGAAATCATATCAAGCATCTTCTCAGATCACAATGGCATAAAACTAGAAATCAACTACAATAAAAAAAAATCAAACACCTCGAGGCTAAATAGCATACTATTAAACAATGACTGGGTTACCAGAGAGATCAAAAAAGAAATAAAAAGCATCATGGCAACAAACGACAATGAAAACACAACAATCCAAAAATCTATGGGGCACAGTGAAAGCAGTCTTGAGAGGGAAGTTCATAACCCTACAAGCCTATGGCAAAAAACAAGAAACAATGGTAATAAATTACCTAACCCTACAACTCAAAGAGTTAGAAACAGAGCAACAAGAAAAGCCCAGTGTAAGCAGAAGGAAGGAAATAATAAAGATCAGCACGGTGATAAATGAAATAGAGACCAAAAAACAATCATCAAAAGATCAATAAAACCAAGAACTGGTTCTTTGAAAGGATAAACGAGATTGATGAACTTCTAGCCAGGCTCACCAAGAAGCAAAGAGAGAGGGCCCAAATAAAATTAGAAATGAAAGAGGTGAAGTAACAACCGATCCTACAGAAATACAAATGATTATGAAAAAATACTATGAACAACTCTATTCCAATAAAAAGGACAAGTAGAAGAAATGGACATATTTGTAGAAAAATACCAGCTTCCAAAACTCAACCAAGAAGAATCAAAAAACCTGTAATTGAAACAGTGATCAAAAATCTTCTAGCAAACAAAAGCCCTCATCTGGATGGCTTTACAGGGGAATTCTACCAAGCATTCAAAGAAGAACTAAAACCTATCCTCCTCAGACTATTCAAGCTCCTTCTATGAAGCCAGCATCACCCTAATAACAAAACCAGATTAAGACACCACAAAAAAAGAGAACTACAGGCCAATATCCTTGATGAGCATAAATGCTAAAATCCTCAACAAAAGTCTAGCAAATAGGATTCAGCAATACATTAGAAAGATCATAAACCATGACCAACTGGGATTTATTCCGAGGATGCAAGGCTGGTACAATATCCACAAATCAATAAATGTGATACAGCACATAAAAAAACTGAGAGACAAAAATCACATAATCATATCAATTGATGCAGATCAAGCATTTGACAAAATCCAACACCCTTTCTTGATAAAAACTCAGCAAAGTGGGCAT